TATCTTTCTTGATCTTTAGTCAGCTTTTGACATTGCAGAGAAGTTATTCTAGAACGATTTGCAAGCTTTGGCATACGAGGTAAATTATTGAGCTGGATTAGAATGTATCTTTCTAACAGATCCACAAGTGTCTTATTCAGGGGAGTGAGGAGTTCCACCTCACAGCCCTTTGAACTCTGGGAGAGATTGAAACCGCTGAAAGTCCTTGTCGGAAAGGCATCAATGTTAAGCTCGCTAGATTGTTTTACGGCTTTTATAACGTCAGTTGTAGACTACCATGCACTGCACTTATTGCAGTATAAGCACTCAGAAAAATAAATAGTTTGGAGATAGTACAAAATGAAGCTATGAGGATTATCTTCGGCGCCTCGAGAACAGCAACGATAGTGAACATGAGATCAGAACTAAACTTACCATCCATTTTTGATAGAATATATATTTGCATTCTGTTTAGGGCCAAAGATCTGAGGGAACCCTTGTATCTCACATATTTCCAAAAACAATTGCAACATAAAATCACGCAAGCAGACGAGGCTAATCAGACACACGAGCGTTCTCTGGTACACGAAATCTGTATGAACATTACCAAGCTTAACGTTCCCATAAGTAATATACCAAAAGGTCGATCCATTCCCCCATGGAAAAGCTCATCACTGATTGTGCACTTTACATGTCTACCGAAAAAAAAACAGTGTACCTAACTGCGTGTTGAAACAAATTGCTTTGGCGACTGTAAAGGAACACTTAGAATGTATGGGCGATGTGTACGTGTTATGCTGACGGATCCGTACAGTCTAGATACAAAGCTGGTTGTGCTTGCGCTGTATACAAAAATGGTTTATTGCAACATCAAGTTCATATGAGAGTACAAAATTGGGCCAGCACTACTCAAACGGAGTTGGCAACAGAATACTTAATGTCTCGGGGCTCTAGAGTAGTTTTCTGTGATTCTCATAGCGCTCTTCGCTCTTCAAAACAGATGGTGATGAGGAAACTGTGAACTGCATTAAGCGTAACGTAACTTATGCAAGAGAGCGCAATTTTAACATTCAATTTGTATGGATACCATCTCATTTTGATATACGCATGCACGACCATGTAGCAAGTTGGCGAAAGAGGCTTGTAGCAAAGATATTGTAAATATAGATCTTGGGATGCCTCTTGCTAGGGTTGCGCACATATTAAAAAGTTCTCATAATGAAGAACTGATAGATCTGAGGAGTTCACAAAGGCCTGAAAGCTGTAGTATAAGGCACTAGGATCAGTAAGGGGATTGTAAGCCCTCCTATGGGTGGCAACGAAGTAAAACCAGACAATGTGACGTGGTTATTGCCAGAATACGTTTAGGTTATAGAATGTACTGGCAATTGCAAGGTGCAAGAAGTGCAGATGAATCTAGATGTAGCCTGTGTAATGAAGAAAATGAGGGAACGCTTGATCATTATATCTTGGAGTGTCATGTGATACAGCCTTTCAGACCACCTAACATGAGGTATAAAGAACTATGTCATTGTTTTATAGCATCTGATACATTGGAAGATATACTCATGCTATATCCTAATTTTACTATGTAAAACTATCATAATCATTGAACACACCACAGAACACTGTTATGTAAACACAAAGGCAAAGGTAGATCAACTCAGGTAATATACGTTTGCATGCTGTATGACATATTCCCATTTTACCATGTATAATTACTGTAATCACAGAATACTGTACCCTGACGAGTGTTTGTGAATATATGTAACACTCTGTAATCACGATTGCAGGGCGGTGTAAAAATATGTTTTTAAGATATGTAAGGATATATATTGGTTTCATGTATCCCATGCCCTTTTGTTTATTTATATTGTTACTTCCTTTTGTGTGTTTCCTTGTTAATTGTTTTTGTGTGTTTGTTTGTGTTTTCAGATATTTCTGAGTTATGAACATATTTTTATGATTTTTACCAAAGGTGTCTTAACCTAACTTACACTCTGACTGCACTTATATGTTTTCA